GACCTCTTTTCTCCCAGATGCTCATATAATTTGAATTCTTTTAAATTTCACCATGATACGCTTTTGCTCTGGATCTTTTGTTCTGGGCCTTCAGTACACCCCTTCATTTTGGAGATCCAGTTCTTTAATTCTGAAAACGCTTTCTTTTTTGCATTGTTTTCTCAAACTTATTTCTGAATCCACATTTGGATTTGACTTGAGGTGTGCAGCAGATGCTATTTTATGTCTCTGTGTCTCTGCATATGCTGTGCCTTCTGCCTAGGATGCATTTCTTCTGCTATTCTTCCAATCTTAATAAGCCCCTACTTATCCTTCACATCGAGTGGCGCCACCCGCATGACCCAACCAGGGCCAGGGACAAACTGCAACCGAGGTATGTGCCCTTAGCGGGATCCGAACTCAGGTCTCTCTGGACCACAGGCCGACGCTCTAACCACTGAGCCAAACCGGCCAGGGCCAGAATTCATTTTTAACATCAGTTCTTCCGTGATCCCGTCCCTGACCTTAGATTGAATGAAACGGGTCTCCCTTCTATGCTCGCAGTCTGCTGTGGCGCCTCTAATGCCATACTGCAATCTGTTTATTCATCTGCCTCCTCCACTGATCATAAACTCCTTGAGAGCAGGGTGATATCCACTTCTTTATCCTCAGTGCCTAACATTATGTAATGCCATGAATAAATGAATTCAACAAAGCAAGAAAAGTGAAAATTTCCTCCTGCTACATGTTAGGCAGTGTGCAAAATAGGTACCATCACATGCATCTTTATTTAATCCTTAAAGCAAGCCTCAGATGGTCATTGTTTAATTACCAAGTACTACCTGAGCCCCTAACATATGCCAGGTTTGATACTTGCCAAAGGATAAAAAAGACAAGACCTCATTTCTCCAGAAATTCACCATATAGTAGGGAAGAGAAGATTTTCTTTTCTTACACAGTTTTTAAAAATTGACATTTAATTCATATACCATAAAATTCCCCCATTTGAAATGTACACTTCAGTGGTTTTTAGTGTACTCACCAAGTCAGGCAACCATCATCACTAGAGAAGTTATTTTGTATCTGTATAAATGAAGTGCTGTGTGTATCCTAGGGTTAAATAAGAGGCGAGGCAGGAGTTTATCAAAGGAAGAAATGCATTCCAGGGAAAGGAAGCACTGTGTGCAAAGGGACAGCGCTCTGAGATGGCCAGTATTTGGAAAACATGAAAAGTGCAGGGGAGACAAAGTTTACATTGAGGAAGTAGGTGGGGTAATTTACAAGGAAGAATGTGAAGTTCAGAGAGTTGAATTAACTCACCTAAGGTCAGACAATTTCTCTTTTGCCAACTCAAGAAAAGGTGTCTAAAGGAGGTTACCCTACCACTGAATCATTCCCAATGAGCAGGCAGGGGCTGACACCATCCAATAGCAGCTTTCCTTCAACTGTCCAGAAAATAAGCTTCATTTTCCTTGCCAGTCCTTACACTACCTAGCACTGGCCATAATGACCACCATCATCCATTGAACAAAAACATTCCATCATGGTTTCACAGATTCAAAACATTATGCTATCAGAAAGTGCTCTGTCCACAGACAGAAATGTTTCATCATGAAAGTCCAAGATGAAACCTTAATATTTCATCTTGGTAGGCCAAAATGTGTTTGCATGTCATGTTTCAAGCCTTCTGTATGACCATGAAAAAACTGTTCTACTTTCCTACTCCTAAGCTTTTCTACCTGCAAAGTGACTTAACAAATCTTTCCCTAGCTACCTTACCACCATTCTGCCCAGAAGAATAATTAGGAAACCATGAGGATCTGTGCTACCTTCGAAACTCTTGAGGAAAAGGTCCGTTAATACATGCTTTAAAAAGTAATATGCCTACTACAAGAATTTCTCCAAAATCTGACCTCAGTTGAACATTTACAAAATCTTGTTTTATTCGCTTTAAATTCAGTCCAGATCAATCTCCATTTCATCTCTGGAATGAATGTTAAGAGTTAGAAGAAAACAGGTAGAAAATAAAGTTTTGTCAGGCAGGGGAAATGACCTCTGGATTTCTGGTTTTGCATTTGGAGGCTATCCCCTATCCTCTTCTCTATCCAAGAAATTCGTGGATGCTACAAATCAGAGGTGTGGTGGAAACCTGTCCTCCATCATCCTTACTATTCAAACCCTTCTGCAGCACCCCTTCAAACCACCAGCAGTGTAAAACACAAAAATTACAGCAAAGAGCAGTTATTTCTCAGAAAAAAAGTTTGAATGCAACCTGGTGAAACAGGATAGAAGAGTTCACCAGAAGCTACCTCTGCCAAGAATCCTTAGATGCTTGCTGCTAACTAGAGAATCCATGCTAAAATGTTTGTGGTTTTGCAGTAGAACCAAGGAATTGACATAGCTGAAAATATTCTATAACAAAAAAATAGTTTTACTAACCTTTCAGAGGAGAATGAGATCAATTATCCCTGCCACACTTGTTTCTCTTTTAGAACTCTGAATTACTGGAATAAAATGAGCAAAAATAAAGGTGACCACACCAATTAGGGCATCTGTGTAAAAAAAAAAACACACTGATGATAGTTACCTCCCAGTCTGCTGAAATTTATGCACACACAACAGTTTTTTCATTTGTGATTGTCCACTACATTTGAGCAGGGAACCAGTCATACCTAGTTCATCTATTAGTTTGGGGAATAATGGCCATTCCCAACTCCAGGAGCAGTAAAATCCAATTCCTTTTCTAGAAAGAGGAAATATATGAATATTTGAGATGGAAGCCAGAATTCAAGCAACTGCAAATATCTATGTGAGAATGAATACATTGTTTTCAGGTCTGGATACGTAATTATTTAAGGAGTCTCCTTCTTCAAAAGAAAAGTATTTTACTCATGAGTTTCTGGGGGAAAGAAAGGGGAAAAAACAAAAGCACTAAATGTGCATTCACCTTGTGTCAATACACTATTCAGTTATTCTTCATGTAGCCCTTACAGTAACCCTGCCAAAGGTTGGTTTTATCCTCTTTTTATAAATGAAGAAACTTAAGCTCAGAAATGCTGGAACATTCCAGAATACATAGCTGGGGGCAAAACGGAGGAAGATCAGAGTCCTAAGCAGATAGGCCTTGCACCTGCCAATGTTTTCAGGACAAGAATCACCTGAGTATACTTTTGGACAATACAAAATACAGGTCACAGAGTCAGTCTTTAAGGTCTGAGAAATGTGTTTTTTCTCTTTCTTTTAAAACAACCTGCTCCCTCCACCGCCTTCGTCAACAGGAAAGCTTGGGAAAGGCAGTACTTCACAACTCAGACAGGGGACGAGAATCTGTTCCATCCCATGCATTTATGGCTTGTCCACCAAGAGACCCCCACCCCCCAAAGCCCTTAAAAATTCTTCACACACTTCTGTCAAATAATCTTTCCTAAGCCCCCAATAAGTGCAAATCTTGGAATCTTCTTCTGCCCCTTCACTTCTGAATCCTGCCAATTTTTTTCTTTCCTGTAACATTTCATTTCCTGGCTGGGACTAGGATCTAACCAGCAGACTTCCAGCCGGGCCCCGGAACTCGCAACCGGTCTCCAGTCTGTCTGGCTCCTTCCCTAGCCCCTCAAATCGGGCAGCTCTCATCCCAACCCTGCCTCTTCCGTCGGTCACGTTGTTTCCTCCGCTTGCAAAGACCTCTTTCCTCTCCCGGCCCTTCCCAATGATCGGGGAACTCCTACACAGCCTGAGCGCCTCCGCTCTGGCTCTGGAACTGAACCCAGCCATGCAGCGAGCTTCGTCCTCCCGGCCGCAGCCCGTGCCCCCTCCTCGCTCGCCTCCCCACCCGCCACCTGGCTTCGCAGCGGCCACTCGGGGAGCCTTCGCCACTCCCCAGAATAGAGAGCAGCTGCTAACGTGAGGCTGCCGCCCGCCGCGAGGCTCCCGGCACACCGGGAGCGGGCGGAGGGGATGTGATCCATTCTGGCCTTCCGTCTCCCCACACCGGCTGGGAAACTGAGGCCCAGGGCCAGAGGAACTTCCGCGGGTGCAGAGTACGTGAGGGCCCGACCAGTCCCGGGCCCCAACCGTCCCGACTCCTGTCCGCGATCCCTCGACCACACGCGCCGCCGGGTCGCCACAGAGAGCTGGGCGGGGAGCGGGTCTCAGAGCAGGCGCTCCGCCCGGGAACGCGCAGGACGCCAGACTCGATCAACTCGCCGCGAGAAAGTTGTTGTCTCCCAGCCTGCCCTCGCCTCTCACCTCCAAGACACACCTTACCGCTGGCTCTGGCAGCCGCGCTCTCACATCCGGTCCACCTTGCGCACACCCCTTTCCACGCTCTCCCACAGCCCCTCTCCCTCCCACGCTTGCGGCTCCCAGCCGCTCCCCCGCGCCCCCTCGCGCACTCCCACTCGCGCCTGGGGCGCGCCTTCCCCGCCCCGCCGCTCGCCCGGCTTCCGCGCCGCGCCCGCCGGGGTTCTGGCGCTTGGGAGCCCCAGTCCTGGGCCGCGAGCCGCTTCCGCCCGCTCGGCGTGGGGCAGAAGCCCGGGGAGGCGCGCGGAGCGCTCCGAGCGCGAGGCGAGGGGCGCACAGCGCGGGGCGGGGCGGGGCGGGGAGGGGGCGCTCGCTCGCTCGCTCACTCTCGGCTGCGCACACGCCGGTACAAACTCTCACACAGACACAAGCGGGGTGCGCTGCCGCCGCCCGCCGCTGCTCCTCCTCCCGCCACCGCCTTGAGAGGGAGAGAGAGGGAGGCAGAGAGAGCGCTTTGTCCGCGCGCCGCCGCCCGGCCCGGGACTCTGCCCCGAGGAGGGAGCCGCACTGAGTCCCCGCCTCCGCCTCTGCCTCTGCCCCCGGGCGGGCCAGGCGGCCGCGGTGGGGGGAGCCAGGCTGAGGGTGAGGGTGGGGGTGGGTGGCGGGCGGGCGGAGGGCGGGGAGGGGGGGCGGAGGAGGGGGAGGAGGAGGAGAGACGAGGGCAGCGGAGGAGGCGAGGAGTGCCGGGTACCGGGCCGGGGGAGCCGCGGGCTCTCGGGGAAGACACGGATGATGAACAAGCTTTACATCGGGAACCTGAGCCCCGCCGTCACCGCCGACGACCTCCGGCAGCTCTTCGGGGACAGGAAGCTGCCTCTGGCGGGACAGGTCCTGCTCAAGTCCGGCTACGCCTTCGTGGACTATCCTGACCAGAACTGGGCCATCCGCGCCATCGAGACCCTCTCGGGTGAGCACTCGGTGCTGTCCCCCTCCCCCTGCCTCTCCCTGCTCCGGCCAGGACGGCGTCCGGAGGGAGGCCGAGCCCTGCGGGCGTCGCCCGGCCGGGGCTCCCGTGCCCGCACGCTCACTTCCACGCACCAGACCCTCAACTCTGACCGCGGCTCCCCTCCCCCGCCACAGCTCTGGACTCTCCCCTTGCCCTCCGAGCCGCAGCCCTGGGGCGACCCCTGTGCGGCCCCGAGGGCCCCCGATGCTCTCTCGCTCTCTTGGGGGCACCCTCGTTCCCCTGGCTCTCGGAGCTGCTCTCCAGAGTTCTCCCCCATCCTGAGAGTCCCCGTCCCCCTTTTCACTGACCTTCCCGTCACCCCCTTTGTCAAGGACCCCCTCAAATCCTGCATCTCCTCGCTTGATCGGACCTTATCCCTTCCCGTGCCTCGTGCCGAGGACCTCTCGCCTTCTGGCGTCCCCAGAGCCGCACTCTCCTTTCGAGCCCCCTCCTCACCTAGCCCCACGATCCCCCACTTTTGGCACCCCCTCGACGCCACCCTGATGACCCCCTCCGAGGTTTTGAGGCTCCCCCAACCCCAGCTCCTGTACGACGGCACATCTCTCTCAGTCCTCTCCCGAACCTCAGTTCCCTTTCGCTCGTCTCTCAAGCGCTCCTATTTTTCTCTGAATTTTTTGTCCGATTTTATTGAGAAGAACTCGAGGCGGGGGGCTTTCCGCCGCCTGTCCCCCCGCCTCCCGCTCGGCCAGAAGCACCTTTTTACGAGGTGCCCTGTCTCAACTCGGTGGGGGCCCGGGCTGAGAACCGGGAAAGAGGAGACCGGGGGGCCCCGCGAGCGCGCTGGAGCCCAGACGGGAGACGGAGAGCGACACACACACCCGCGCGCGCGCGCGCACTCACCAACTCGCCCTCTCGCACACGCACCGCCAGGAGCCGCGCTCGCCCCCAGACCATGAGCCTGCGCCCCACGAACCCGGGCCAAGCCGGGCCGGAGCCCCTTCCCCACCAGCGCGCGGAGTGGGGGCGGGGCGGCAGCGAGGCCAAGGTGACACCCAGAAGCCGGCGGGGACTAGCCTCTTGCAACAGCGGACCCCGGGGGCTTCTGCGCGTCTTCTGGGGGCCACCGGGAGGAGAGGGCTGGGAGGGGAGCTCAGCGGAGGCTTCGGGACCCGGGTTAGTGGAATGGAGAGGTGGGGGCAGAAAGAAGCGGGGCCGCGCCAGCCCTGCAGCTTGAGTTTCAAATGAGCTCATCCTTTCAAATTGGCGCCGCTCTTTATTAAATTTGTTTTTCCGGTAATGCCACCCACAGCTATACCTGGGGTCGGAGCCGGGCTCACACCCCTCCCACTTTGTCCCGAGACATGGGGCGCCCATCTTCCCACTGGGAACCAAGTTTGCCCAGCTGAAGTCGGGTAGGAGACCCCTTGAGGGCACCCGAAGGCGGAGCCCGAGCGTGGAGTTCTGTGCGTGCCCCTCCTAGACCCTCGCTGGTTTCATACAAGGAAGGTTCTGAGTGCTTTAATTTCTGTTTTAAAGGTAAAGTGGAATTGCATGGGAAAATCATGGAAGTTGATTACTCAGTCTCTAAAAAGCTCAGGTAAATATATTTTGCTTAGTTATTTTGTGATTGGGCTTACGTATAAGTAAAAAATATACACTCAGTTTTTTAAAATGTGCTTTTGTAGTTTTGTAAAAAGGCTTTTGTTTGTTTTGTTAGTGGCGATAACATAGTTTAGAAAGTTACATTTTTTTACTTTCATTATATAAGGTGTTTACTGGTCTTGGAAAATATCTGATGCCTTATTGGGAGTTGGGGGGGGGGGGGGTGTCGAACACTAAATTCTCAGGGACTGTTTAACTTGTTTGTCAAAACTTGCCTCCCACCCCTACCCCCAGCACAATGGCAACAAATGCTTGTCAAGACTTCCTGTGAGATGTTAAGAGTAAATATTTACTGTGTCAGTTAAATTGCTTAACTGAACTTAGCGATTAATTAGTTTTCGTTTTTAGATAGCTTAATGTTGAATAATAAAATAATTCAGCAAGGGGACAATGTTTTGCATAGTACTGTAAAAAAGTGGGTTGTTTGGATTGGATGGCAGTTAAAAGCCAGACTTTTGTAGTCCCTGAGACTGCTGAATATTGCTTCTGAGCGTTTCGTTGTTGTTACTGTCGCTTTTAAAGTATGTTTGAGGCTGAACTAATATCACTGTGAAATCTATAGTTACATTTAAGTACTCTATTGTTAATGAAGGAGTAAAAAGGTTTGTAGAGGTTGAGCTTCTCCTATGATTTGCTTACATGAGAAATATCTGTCCATGAAGAGAGAATGAAGGAGAACGTTTTTGTTTTAAAGTTTATTGTAGACTTTAAATTTGGGCCCTTTATTACTCATTCTAGATCCCACCCCCCCTTATGTGTTGTAACTTAGTTTATATCCCATTCACATACATTTCTTCACCATTAGTCATTAAGTGGTTGAATTGGAGAGACTCTAAAGTGAAGTCTTTGATTTACTGCCTTTAAAATCTCTGATACTCAGTAGTGTAACCATTTACTTGATTTTTTGCCAGGATTGAATAGATTTTAAAACAAGCTATCCAAATTTAATAAATACTTAGATATTTTGTTAAAGAGGTTTTAAAAATCGTGTGCACATTTACAGATATGTTTTATCTTAAGTAAGCAACAGAATAGCTTTTGTTTGCAAATGATTCTGTGGTATATCAGAAAACAACTATTTACTACCTTTTAAGAAAGAGGTAAAAGTTATGATTTGTAGTTTTGTGTGTGGAACATTAAGCTAGTCTTCTCTGGGAAAAGATGTAATATGTGACTGATTAGTTTTTCAATCAAGTATTCTAAATTTCTGTACTTTTCTTTCTTTTTTTTTTTCTGCTTGAGAAATCCAAGTGGTAGCTTTCTGATATATTAAGTACTTGTAAGTGTAAATGATTAATCTTACAACACTTGAAAATTTGAATGTATTGAACAAAGTTTGAAAGAACCACCTAAAACTATTTAATGGACTACGTTTTTATAAATGCCCAGTTCTATTAGCTATAATAACTATTTGAGTCCTTTTTGTAAAAATCAATACTATTTTAACTTTAGTGAGTTAGTGTCTCATTTCATGTTGCAGTACAAGTGAAATACTAGTTTATCTAAAGTTATTAACATCTCTTAAAACTTCTCACAAACATACTACTTTCTTTGTTGTTCTAAAGGCAGAGGTTATTTGCTGTTAGTTGGAGTGTCATTTAAATAATTTTTCGGTGTTTATGTAAGAGCTCAGAATTAAGAGCATATCCCAAATTTTTAGTATTAATTAAATAAAGGGCAGTCTAGGACTTATACATCCCTATTAGTACATGATTTCTTTGAACATGTGGGCGATATGAAATACCTAGGAGGCAGATTAAAATTCGCTGTGTATGATTCACTACACTAAAGATGTCTGACATACCAAATGTATGCATAAGCTGTTGCTGTAGAGGGTTACATCATTTCTGATTGGATGGTTTTAATCTTTTTTTCCTTTTATTAGTTTAAAATGCAGAAATTAGTTACTTGTACTGCAGACTAAGGGAGAGAGAGCTAATGACTGGTGTTGTGTACTAAGCTCAGACTCCTGGGATGAAACAGCTGTATGTTCTCATATACAGGGCACTACCACGGTGGTGGCTTTCAGAAAGCAGGGTACTGTGACATTTGAAACCAAAGCTTTTATGTTATATGGTGACTATTTTGGTGTTCTTTTGTTGCATTTCTATGAAAATTAACAAGTTAGGAGTAAATTTGTCAGTGTTAAGTCAGCTCTATATGTGGTTTTGTGTTAGTTGAAGTGAAAATGTGAAGAAAACAATCCATCTTTCATTGCTTGATTACTTAAATAATCATTCAACAATTGAGTGCTCATACTCTTTATATTCTGATTTCTTTGTGTTCTCAAGAATCTGTTTTAATATCTACTTTCCAAATAGATTTTTTTTTAAAGCTAATGATATTTGGGAGGAGATGTTCTTATTCTAAGTTATGAAATTATTGGCATGCCATTTGCTTACCAATTGGATCTTTTATATATCATTTCTAACATCATTTTATATGTGCTATTATACTAGAGAGACTAGATACCATTATTTTCTCAGGTCACTCAGAAATAGAAAACTCTTTCTTTTTGCCACATGTGTTTCATTCTTATTAAATGCACATTATTGTAATGTAAACCATGTACAAACCATCTATTTCTCTTATTTTCTAAGTTGGTTTCAGGCTCTGTTGAATAACAATTTGGATTTTTTTTCTCTATTCATATTTCTTGGTAGTATATATGAAACAAAGATTTCTTACTGAGGAACAAACTGGCAAGGGCTTTAATGTTCTGTTGAAAGTTGTAGAAATTTCCTTGATAGAAATTTCATTTTTGATATTGATGAGAGTTTGTGTGTGCGGGTGCGCATGTGCACATACATACATACATATATATGTTCGTATATGCACACATACACATTGTATAAATTGTTTTGAACTGAAACATATGCTAACATGAATGTGCTTTGTAACTAAAGTTGAATGATTTGTGAGAAACAAAATTTTGAAAAATGCAATTTCTGCCCATTTCTAGGAAGTAACTAAGTGGTGCTAGACATGCTTTCACTGAGATGGTGTAAATACTATGAGGTAGTGTAGGAAAAAGCTATGAATTTGTCTTTCATGACTTAAAAATCAGTAATTGTGTTCTCTCCAATGCAAATGAATTTGGTCTCCTATAGGAATGTTAAAGAAAACAGTATCTCAATTGTATTTTGCTTGTATGTACTACATTGTGTACAGTTGAATTAAATACCAAAAAGAAAAAACACACCCAACCTCAAGCCCTCCCTGCAACAAAGGCTTTTGCTACATCAATTTTTAATTTTGTAGCAACAGAAAAGTCTTTAAGAGGTTAAAATCATATGGTAGCCTCCTATGTCAAGAATTTGTTGAATTGGAAATTAATGCCTGGATTTAATTGTATAGGTTCCATGTGTGGATATATCATATATTAAGGTAAAATTTATATCAAACTGTCAAGTTATTTTTGACTTGGCTTTGAGATGGATGTTTAGTTCTCATTTTAAAAAAGGCTAATAATTTTTTCATGTGGTTCTAGGTAATGTTATAGAGAATTACACATTTTTATGACCTTTAAGATATAACTATTAAAATTAAAATAGAAGCAATAAAGAAAAAATTACTTGATAATTTAGGTAATAACATATGTTTAAAATTCTACTTTATGTTTGTAAATGATTGGTCATTTGATTTTATATTTAGTTAAATATTAAAAACCATTGAAACCTATAAATCAAAATAGATTTTATATAATGCTTGATTTTTCAATGTTCCAAATTCATACAAACTTAAATTGTATTGTAGTAATTTATGACAGCATTAAATGGCTAAACACCTAAACATTAATTCTAAAAGGTGATTTGGTGGTATGTAGTACATTTACCAAATTGTTTTCAAAAATAATATTTTTTTGTAATTATCCCTGAGTATAAGATGACCAGTAAATGATGGTCTCAGAGTTGTTTTTTATGTTAACCTGAGATTATCATTTATATAGAGAAGATGAGAATTAGTAATATTTGTACACCTTTTGTATATAATGATCTAATGTACAATATATTTTTCAAGAAGAAAAAAATTTAAAAGGACTTTAGAAAATTTATAACTAATCGCATATCAAAGTTAACATTTCACTATTGTTATGAGCAAATGTTTTTATTTTATGGAGGTTACTCTGATTTTTGCACTGGGGGATATAAATAATTTTGAAATGTGCATAAAAGGAAAACAACTTGGGCACATTTATTAAAAGTCAAAAAAGCTATGAAAGTCAGATTTTTACAGGAACTATTTATACATATTTGATACTTTTCAACTTTATAAATATTTGCTGTTGACTGCTGAATCACTCTTCAAGTCTGCTAATGAAATCCTCAAAAGTAGATGAGCAATTGGTCAGAGTTGTTAGAGGATATTATTTGAGCTAAGTGTGTCATCTCTGTGATTCAGTGGGGTGTGTGCACATGGGTGTGTGTGTGTGTGTGTGTGTGTGTGTGTTGGGGACAGTAGTTTCAAACAGATGGTATCTAGAGGGAAGAGAGGAAATATTTAACTGAGCAGTAATTACTCTGGATTTCAGTCCCGAAAAGGCAAATGTAAGTCAATAGGTGTTTGAACCTTGTGGCAAAAGGAATAAAATCTAATGATATTTGCCTTGAGTGATGTATAACTCATAGGAGGTTAACCTTGCAGAAGCCAGGGCACTGGCACCTTAGTGGCTTCTTCAGCAAGCTTGCTGCTGGAAGGAACATCCAATGCAAAATTGACTGTACTTCCTTTTTGCTTGGATGTCCCCTTACTAATAGAGTTAACCTAGTGACTCTTGAAGGCTATGAAGATCTGTAATTTTTTAAGTGTTGGAAAATTCAAGATTTGCATATTCATTTTCATTTAGAAATTCTATACTGGGGAAGGCAATCCATTATTTTCAAAACAAAAGTACTTTGAGAAGATCAACTTCATTAGCAGAAGCATAGTATAAAA